TTGTTCAAAGGCATTCAGCTGAAAATTTCTTGAAACTTTGTGGGAAAATTGCAGTTTTGTTTCTTCTTTTGATATGCTGTTAGTATCTTATGTTATTTTCTTTTCTTTTGTGAGAACGTCTGTGACACTAATTATTCGACAAGAATTTTTGTTTTTCCTCTTGTCAGCAAATGGTGTACTTTTTATTCAAGAAAGTTTTGAAAATGACAGTATTATGGGAGGGGCATAGTGACAGACGTTTTTCTATTGGTTAACGTATTTAGTATCAAATGACGTAATGGAACAAGTAACTCACGAGGTCTGAGATTGTTTAGCGCACTTTGCTTCAATCCTTCATACCGGGCTATATTATAAAAGACCTGTCAAGGTGAGTTATTTCATTGTATGAACTGAATTTTAGGTTTGTTGAGTTTTATTTCTGTTAGGAACTTGTTTGAGTTATGTCTGCAAAAGTTTATTATGTGCGGTCATTGTGCGGTATATATATTCTCTTTTGAAAATAGTGCGGAGAGTTTAGTGTAAGAATTTGCTCTATTGGAGTCGCATCTTCATTCGAAATTCCTTGGTTCCTTGTTGTTGGATTGTGTCAATTCGAATAGAGGTTTGGCTATAGGTCGTTTATAAGGAAATCAAGATGCTGTCTTCCACTGTTCGATGCAACAATATCCAAACAAGGGGTGATTGATAAATGATAGCTGAAAGTGCCTTGTATCTGTTAGTTATTAAAGGAGAATGTTTGTAATCCCTTTTTTATAAATCATGATGTTATAAATTACTCTTTTTTTCTTACAGATGTTGTCTAGAACATTCATACCAATTTATGGTAAGGGAGTAGAAACTATTTAAGTTTTCATGGGCACGCGGCTTATGTGTATCGATCAGTATACATTCTATCTCGCTGGTGTGAGAGATTTCCCATCTTACTTACTTTAGAACGTTTGTTAACAAAAAAAAGCCTTGAATTGTTGATTTACTAAAGCTTTGAAACATGAAAGCTGCATTTCCAATGTCATGAAGGGAAATATTATTTGATGTTTGGAAATAGCATTACGTCCCTATTCGAAATCGGTATGCGAATACTTAACTTATGTCCAAACTTATTTATACATATAAATGTTGATTTATTAATCTAGAAGTTATTGATGAGTTTGTTTCTATTTTTTAGTACTTGAAGCAGTTTTCCTTCTCCTGATGTAAGTACCTTTATTAATGTAATCGTATTAATGCAGTGCMAGTGTTAAAATGTTTCAATATGTTATCTTTACAATTTTTTTTTGTTTTCACGAATTCGCTAACAAATGTTAAAAAGACGAGTGAAGGTATACTTTAGCAGTTATTGTTTGTTAGTGGAGCTAACCAGCGGGTACGCAACAGGACTGTGTAAATTAGCGGAGTTCTCCTGTATTCTGATACTGTAGTTTGAAACATATAAAACAATTGATAAAATTCATTTTACCTTTAGTAATTTTAAGTTAAAATATACGATCGTATTAAAATCATAGACTTTGGAAACTTGTTAAAGTTAGTTTGCGGTGTACCAATGATCCTGACAAAGAGGTTATTTTGCTTTCTGACATCAAGATTACGAAGTTATTCATCTAGGAATAATCTTGCACGAAAAACATTTTTTATTTAGGGTTATGTTCGTCAATAATTCTATCTTTGTTCTGTTGTACCCTTATGTGGTCTTCTCGTTATAGCAACTGGGCAGCTGCTGCTGTTAATACTAAGACCTTGTATACAGAGTTGACACATCCCTCTTGTTATACATGATGTTGTATGATCAGTTAGTAAATGAGGGTTTAAAATAAATAAAATACGTTGTTCCTTCAAATCTTGCTAAGAGGTATGTGCTTTTGCGATTATCTTATATGTTTTGGTTCTCAAAATTTCAGCTGCTGTACCTGCGTTTGTGATTCTGGAGTAAAAGTTTTAGGACCTGAAAATGATTTCGTTACATCGTGACTCTTTGTTAACTCTTTGTTATAATTGTAACACAATCTTTTTGTCCATTGATTTGAAAACTCTACAT